CATAAAACTAAAAAGCTTCTGTTCATCAAAAGAAATGGTCTCTAAACTGAAGAGAACACCCACAGAGTGGGAGAAAATATTTGCCAACTATACATCAGACAAAGGACTGATAACCAGAATATACAGGGAACTTAAAAAACTAAATTCTCCCAAAACTAATGAACCAATAAAGAAATGGGCACGTGAACTAAACAGAACTTTCTCAAAAGAAGAAATTCAAATGGCCAAAAAACACATGAAAAAATGCTCACCATCTCTAGCAATAAAGGAAATGCAAATTAAAACCACTAAGATTCCACCTCACCCTGTTAGAATAGCATCATCAGCAACACCACCAACAACAGGTGTTGGCGAGGATGCGGGGAAAAAGGAACCCTCTTACACTGTTGGTGGGAATGTAGACTAGTACAACCACTCTGGAAAAAAATTTGGAGGCTACTTAAAAAGCTGGACATTGATCTACCATTTGATCCAGCAATACCACTCTTGGGGATATACCCAAAAGACTGTGACACAGGTTACTCCAGAGGCACCTGCACACCCATGTTTATTGCGGCACTATTCACAATAGCCAAGTTATGGAAACAGCCAAGATGTCCCACTACTGACGAATGGATTAAGAAAATGTGGTATCTATACACAATGGAATTTTATGCAGCCATGAAGAAGAACGAAATGTTATCATTCGCTGGTAAATGGATGGAATTGGAGAACATCATTCTGAGTGAGGTTAGCCTGGCCCAAAAGACCAAAAATCGTATGTTCTCCCTCATATGTGGACATTAGATCAAGGGCAAACACAACAAGGGATTGGACTATGAGCACATGATAAAAGCGAGAGCACACAAGGGAGGGGTGAGGATAGGTAAGACACCTAAAAAACTAGCTAGCATTTGTTGCCCTTAACGCAGAGAAACTAAAGCAGATACCTTAAAGCAACTGAGGCCAATAGGAAAAGGGGAACAGGAACTAGAGAAAAGGTTAGATCAAAAAGAATTAACCTAGAAGGTAACACCCACGCACAGGAAATCAATGTGAGTCAATGCCCTGTATAGCTATCCTTATCTCAACCAGCAAAAACCCTTGTTCCTTCCTATTATTGCTTATACTCTCTCTACAACAAAATTAGAAATAAGGGCAAAATAGTTTCTGCTGGGTATTGAGGGGGGGGAGGGGAGGGGCGGAGTGGGTGGTAAGGGAGGGGATGGGGGCAGGGGGAGAAATGAACCAAGCCTTGTATGCACATATGAATAATAAAAGAAAAATGAAAAAAAAATACCAAACTCTGCAAAATAAATAAATAAATAAATAAAAGTGGTAGCTTGGATGGAAGTGAGGAGGTGGGGACACTTGCAGGTTCAGAGCCAACAATTGAGCACCTACTGCATGCGGCACTGTCCTTGGGATACAGACACTAAACAGACAAGGTGTCTCTTCTTATGGCACAAAGAGGGAACAAGACAGAACCCCAGTGCAGAAATACAAGAGAATTTCAAAGAGGACAAGGGCTGCAAAGAAGAATGTGGTGATTGGAGGAAACCGGAGCCTGGTGTAGATCAGGGAAAGCTCCTTGGAGGAGGAGGAGCCCTTTCAGCTGAGACTTAAAGATGAGACCAAGTGAGCCATGCAAAGATTTAGAGGGAGACTGTCCAAGTAGAGAGAAGCACAAGTGCAAAGGCCCCAGGAAGGAGATGAGCTTTCTCAGTCCAGCTGCAGGCTGGAACCTGAGAGAGGGGAGCAGGGAGGAGGGGAGGTCAGGGCCTGGGGTCCTGTTCTGAAGCCTAGGGTTGGCAGTGAGATCTAAAACCAAGCTGGCTTTTCTCACCCAGTGGACAAACTGAGATCTTGTCTGCAAGTTTCCCCGGCTACATAAGAAGAGCCACCCCTCCCTCCCAGGGCTGGATCGGCTGTCCGGCTGTCCGGCTGTCCGATCAGACCAGAAGGAAGGGAAAGGCTTAACAGGGGTGGGTCCTGTGGTCCTGCGCACAGCCGCCTAGCGTCTGATGCCTGGGCTCCCTCTCGGGCCTCCTCCCCCGGGCCTCCTGCCGGCAAGCCAGTCCCTCGCAGGAGCTGAGCAGCTGCTCTCTACAGAAATATTGCAAAACTCGCCCAGGCAGTTCCAAAATATTTTCTTGGCAGAAAACCCACTAGCAGCTAAGAAGCCAAGTCCTGGGGCTGATGTCCTTTCCTGGTGGCTTCTCTAGGCCATGAGCTCTGACAGGCCATGTCTGCTGGGCCTGGGGACACTGACTGACCCAAGCAGCTACACTAGCGCTCCACACTGCTGGGTTCCAACCCCAGCTCTGTCACAGTCTGGCAGCGTGACATGGGGTGAGCAGTGTTGAACAAGTCATCCCGGGCCCCCGTGTTGCTGTCTTTGAAATGGACCCGTGTTTAACGCAGTGAGTGAGGGAGTACTACGCACCCAGGACATGCAGAAGGGGGCGGACGTGATCAGATCTGGGGGGCACCGAGCTCTCTGGGGTCTGCTTCACCACCCAGTCCCGTACTTGTTATCCTGTCACATTCCCACCAAGGTGGCCCCTGGTCACACCCCTTTCCCTGTGCCACCACATCCCAGCTAGACGAGGGCAGACCCTGTTGTCACAGGGCCCCACTGTAACTCTAGTCAATACGCCAGGGTCCCGCACCCCACCTTCTTGATTTCCCTGTTCTCAGGACCAGGAGAAGCCTCCAAATGAAGGGATCAATGAGTGAGTGAGTGAGTGAGTGACGGAGGGAGGAAGGGACTCTCTATGTCCCACATACAGTCGCAGTAGGATAACTGGCTTCCTCCTTGTTTGGACAGTGGCAGCCATAGCACTTCCGCTGGTCCCCAGAGAAGAGGGCCACCTCCAGTGACACTTGGTTACCAGACAGAAGACCCAGCTGGCAAGGGGCTACGGGACCCACAGCTCTGTTCTTCCCTGAGAAGCCAGGACTTAGAAAACCTTTGGGGCAGCTGACGGCCTCCCAGCTCCCCGGGACACCTACAGAACCGGGACCTTGGTGCCCTTCATGTCTTCACACCCACCCTCTCCCCACTGAGGGGAGCCCAACAACCGGCCAACAGTGACCCTGGAGAGCTCTGATGACCTTGGAGGCTCCCATCACGGATCAACTCTGTCCCCCTCCCGTGTACAGACGGACAGAGAAGAAGAAATAGCCAGCTAGGTGATAGAGACACAGGACCATCTCCTGCCACAGCCAGCCTCTGTCCCTCTGCTCCAGTCCACCCTCCCCGCCATCCGCCTGCTCCCGCACACACAGGGCCCTCCGCCTGGCTGACCTCTGCTCATCTTTTCGTCCTGCCCCCAGCAGCACCCGAGACAGGGGAGTCAAAGGAGCCTCCCTGTATTCCCTGGGTCCTCCCCAGCACTTGTGTATCCCTGAGGTGGCCTTGTTTGCTGGCGAGCTCACGTATTGACTGCTTCTCTGCACCCAGGGCTGTGGCCTAGCTCAGTGCTGTTGTAGTGTAGACACTCAATGAACAGCTGTCCACGGGTGGAGGAAGGACAGTGCACACTGCTGACCCACCACCATGTGTCCCTAGCAAAGCGGCCGGGGTTGGACTGGGACTCGGTCTATGAGGACTCGGTTGTTTTGGGGAGGGTGCTTCTGCAGTTTCCTGTCACCCTAGGGACATTCTCAGTGTCTCATTCTCAATGTCAGTGCCTGCTTCTAGGGACAGCCTGGGTCTCCTTGGCCTTTTCTTCTATCCTCAGGCCTCAGGGATCTAGTCTGCATCCCAAGTTCCCCAGGTACCCCCAAATCATCCCAAGCATTCTCTCCCCTGGGATTTTTCTGCCCACCCTGCAGGAGCCTGGGAGGCTCAGGGGCACACAGGGAGCTGAGGCAGTTCTGAGAGGGCCGGGGTCTCAGCCCATGATGGGCGCTTCCCCACGCCTCTGCCATGGCCTCTCCCCTCCTTCATCCTGGAGGTGGAGCTCTCAGCCATCCCCACTGCATGGCCCTAGCCACCTCCTTCAGGAAGCTTCCACCCAGCAGAGACATGTTCCAGTAATCCACAGTAGTGGGCACCATTTCCACTGCAGGGACGCTCCTGTCCCCCATGCAGTAATTAGCATTTGGGCTGCTGGAAGTCCTTTTTCCTCGTGGTGAGGACCAGAGCCCTGCTGTCCTCCAGCCAGGACTCCTCTGAGCCCTGTGTCTCACCACTTCCTCCCCCAGAGCCAATTTGGGAGCAAGTGACATATTAAAGAGGGAAAGTAGGAAAGCGGGAAGAGAGAGCAGAGTGGTCAGTAGAGGGGAGGAAGGTAGGGAGGGAGGGAGGTGGAGAGGGAAGTGGGGAGGGAGGGAGGGAGGGAGAGGAGACTCCTAAGCCTGACGACAAGTACTGCTCTTCACCCTTCAGGGATACTATAAAACACATGCCCCAGTGGATCCCACCCAAGGGCGAGGGAGCGGGGGATCCAAACATTTGCTTCCAGGTGGGGGAGGTAGGAAAGGCCCCTGCACAGAGACACCCAGATATAAACAAATGTCCCTGGAGTGTCCTTAAAGGTCTGAAAGATATGAGCACAGCACTGCCCAGCTAAGCTGTGTGACCTTGGGCAAATCACTCCACCTCTCTGAAACTTAGTTTCCTCCTATATGGAGAGGTCAGGGTGAGGGACAAGAAAAACAGTACAGGACAGTTTCCCTAATGGACACCCGAGATTCTCTCTTATGTGCCCCCAGAGTGAGGCAAATGGAGCCAGTGCAGTCTGAGACAGAAGACCCTATCCCCACCCCGGACTTGGCCAACTCCACCCAAGGCCAGTGGCTGAGCTGGGCCTGGACTGGACCTGTTTCCCCACCAGCTTTTATGGCTCTCCAGTCTGCCTCTACGGTAGCATCCAGCTTCACTGTCAGGACTGAAGACACTCTATGCTGAGACTCCAGCCTCAGTTTCCCCATCTGTGGTGTGTGCCTGCGGGAGAATACAGGGGTGCAGTGGGAGGCTCACAGCAGCAGACACCTGCCAGCAAGGCACTTACGGGTCGGGTATCTCTCATGGCGGCAGTCTAAGCGGAAGTCCTCCTCCTCGCTCGTGTCCCCCTTCTCAATCCTGCAAAGGAAAAGAAAACCTAAGCGCAATGAGAAAGAGCAGGCTGAGCTGGCGGAGACCCCAGACCTCCGTTTTGGAGCATAAAGTCTGAGACTTCATGCCTCATGGACTGTTACCAAACCCCTGCTGAGCGGGCATCGGTGTGCCCATTTTTAGTCATGAAGAAAGGAGGCATTTGGGGGTGGTGTGAGGCAGAACAGAGACAGATGCAAACCCCTGGTTCTCACAGAGACGATCTTCAATTATGTGCAAATAATCGTGCAATTGCAAGCTATGTGCATTATAGATGATGTGTATATTACAGAAGGTGTGTACAGTTTGGTTTGTTTTCAAAATTATACACTGGTATACACAAAAATATTTGGCATAGTATGTACCAAAAGATTAATAGGGATTATTTTTACATAGCCAGAAGACAGGGAATTAAATTGGGCCTTCTTTTTACTTAACCCTATTTTCTGATTTGAGGTGACAGGCTTTCAGTAGCTCTGTAATATTTGTTAGCTAAATCAGAACATTTCCCATAGATAATTCTACGTGCAAACAAAGCCCCAGTCTTCCAACTTCTGGCCTGGTGCCCTTTCCCACCACCGACTGCAAGAGTGTTTCTGGGTCTGGTGATTCGGGGGATGGACCCCAGGGCCTCACACCTGCTTGGCAGTCATTCCACCACGGGGCTGCACCCCAACCCAGTTTCTTGCACGTGGTCTCATTCTCCTCTGGCATCTCCAGATTCCTGCCCCAGTGCATCCTTGGGGGTGGCAGAGAAGCCCGGAGCAGAGGCTGACAGTGACCTGTTCGCAGACAAGCTCCAAACCTGGACCCTAACCCCCTCCCACTAATGACTGGGCCACACACTGGAGCGACCTCACTGCACTCCTTCATTCGCAACCCAGATAAGCTCAGAGCTCCACGTGGTCCAGTCCAGACAGATGTCACATTTACAGCCACACAATCTAGTCAGTCCCCAAGTAAAACCAATTCCAGCCATGACTGTAGCTCCCAGAGAGCACTAAGGAACTTCGATGTCTGCAGTCACACATCTGAAATCTTCCCTCTTTTTCCTAACCCTCTCTCGCCCCCTGCCTCACTCCCAATGTTTCCCCAGACTCTCTCCAGGGCTGTGGGCCTGGCGTCTTTCCTTCTCTCCGCCCTCCCTTTCTGTCCTCTTTTCTCTCACACAAAGATGTCACAATCCTATCCAAAGCAAATGCCCAACTCTGTCCCCTGCTTTTCCCATCTCTCATTCCTAGCAACAGAGCTGGAAGCTTGGGGCTGGAGGAGGAGACATGGGGAAGGTGCTGAATAACCAGCAAGCAATGCCAAGTGTCCCCGGTAGAAGGGAAGGGAAGACTCATGTACTGGTCATTCTGGTCCCCTCAGGTCATTCACTCATCGGTTCATTTGCTCATTCATCAAGAATGACCTGGGGACTCTGTAGTTTGCACCAGATACAGTGAGGAGGACAGAAAGGCTGAACTCAGAAGCCCTGACCGCAGAGAGCCACCAGCTTGGTGGCGTTGGACAACAGCACACAGAACTGTCCATGCTGCCCGAACCAGGGGTCCAGCCTGAGCTTCCTGGGAACAAACTCTGGACACGTGTATTTACAAATGTCTTCCGTGGCTTGCTGGTCCGAGACCGCAGAACAGAGGCCTGTGTGTTGATGTCATAGGAAGGCAAATTTCAGTCCAGTCTAAGGCAGGATGTCCTCTTTATTTTATTTTATTGTCTTTTAATAGAAACATCTTTGTCATTTTCCTGACAACAAAAGCTTATTCCAAAAAAATTAAAATTCTACTACCATAGACAGAGCAAAAGTCTCCCTAGTGTGGTGTTTATCTTTTCGTAATTTATACATTTTTACACAAATAGCCTCAAATTAAATATACTGTTTTCTAATCTGATATTTGAAAATACCCAGAAGTTTCCAAAATCTTTCTAAATCAGTACACTCGGATCTCACTCATCTTTTCCTCATGGATGTATATGAAAGATTAATTAACATTTCTTCCCCCAATGACAGACATTAAGAGTTTTCCACCTCCTAGGTAATGGTGGTGTCTATCTAGCCAGGTAGTGAGCTCCCTGTCACCAGAGGTGCTTAAGACAAGATTGCCAGTCAAAGCTGTAAGTGGGTCCAGACACCGGAGGGGAGGCTGGACCAGGTAACTGAGCCCATGCTCACCCCGGTGCACCTGGCCATCCCAGCACCTCTGGGTCAGGAGAAGCTAGCACCACTCTTAGCCAGCTCCCTGCATCTTCCTGCCCATCAGTCTTAACCTTGAACCAGCGCCTGGACCTCTAGACTCTCGATTCTCCTGGTTTCTTATCACAGACTCACTTGCTCCAGACCTCCTGCTCGGCTGGACTCAGAGCCTTGGGCCTGGAAACATGTGAGCCAAGTGGCCAGCATCTAGGAGGCACCATGGAGCCTGGAATGGCCTCTTCCCTCCCTGATTATCCCAGTCTGGCTGCCAAGAAGTCCCAAGTTCAGCAGCTAACGCAAGAAATAACACCTACCGACGTCCAAACACCTGTGTGGCCAGGCCTTATGCTGGGCTGGAGGCCATGGGATGACCAGAGAGGCCCTGCTCTGGAGATCTCAGGTTGCATTCCATTGTAATCACTGCCTTTTGGGCCAGAAGGATGTTAAGAAGTTGCCAGGGAGAATCTGTATCCAGTCTTGGAGTTGGCAACCTTTTCCTGCAAAGGTCCGAATAGTAAATACTTGGAGCTTTTGGGGCCATCTGGCATCTGTCACTGCAACTCTGTCCCTGCAGCCAAAGCCACAGAGAACACAGATGTGGGTGTTTGCAGCATTTAGTTGTGTGTCAGCACTGGCAGAGGCCAGTAGCTCTCACCTTGGCTGTTGGCAGAAGTCACCAGTCCGGGAAGTTTTGAATCTCCCTGGGAGTGTAAGGTGCAGTCAGGGTTGGGGGGCCACTGTGTGGGGACCAGAAGAGGCTTCAAGGATGAAGTGACACCTGAACTGCACCCCCAGGCCACATGACCTGCTGCTTACTTCTCACAGAGGGCCCCAAGCTTCTAGCCCCCATCTGCCTGTCCTTCCAGCCTTCTGGAAACAGCTGGTTTCCTTGCAAAAGCTCAGTCCCAATTCACCATGAGCAGCCAGAATCTGCAGCCCCACAGGGCCTTGGTGGACATCCGAGACCCATGTGAGACTTGGCAGTGGTTCTGGGTGAGGGCTGATGACCCTTCTGCTGCCTCTTCAGGGGCCCAGGGCCGGACAGAGGGGCTTCCTGAAGGAAACAGCAGGGGTCAAAGGCAGATTCTGAGCACCACGAGGTTCTGGGCACAGGAGGGAGGAGAAGTCCTGGTTGAGCTCAGCTCCTGGGCTAACCGCAGCACAACTCTGAGACTCACCCAGCCACTCGAGTCTCAGTGTTCCTATGTGCGTAATTGGGCACGGCAGCGGTGGTCACAGTTCTGATAGGAATGACCACCAGCGTCTCCATCTCCATGGCTGTGGTAAGAACTAAAACCCAGGACCTGGCCCAGATGAAGGGATCAGAGCATGTTAACCACTGCTGTGTTTAAACTCGCTTAGTGGTCTGTCGTTCCCAACACCCTTCCAATTCAGAGAGAAGAATGGAGTTTGTCTGAGTCCCCAGGGTCTAACACAGTGCCTGGCACTAAATACCTCAGGGAGGAAGGAAAAGAAGGAAGGAAGGAGGGAGGGAGAAGGAAGGGAGGGAGGGAAGAGAGGAGAGGCGGGGAGAAGGAGAGGAGGAAAGAGAAGGGAAGGAAGAAGGGAGGAGGAGAGAGAGGGAGGGAGGAGGAAGAGAAGGAGGGAGGAAAGGGGAGAGCAGTCCATGTGCTGAGGCAGCCATGGCCACCAGGGACACCGAGCTCCCCTGGGAAAGAACCACAGATGTCACCCTGTGTCTCTCTGATTTGAGCTGAAATGTCCTGCGGGAAGATGCATTTTCTAAAGGCAGGTCTCCTTTTTCTTTTTGTAATGGTGCTGTGGATCACCCACATAGCCGACCCGTACCTCGAGGAGTTGATGGGGTGCTTGTGGGAACTGGAAGAAGGTAGGACCCGGGCAACCCCAGGTGTGCCACGTCGCTCCCAGGAGCCAGGTTTCTCCCCCATCCCGCCTGGCTGTGTGGGACAGGCCTGTCTTCTGAGCTCTCCAAGCCTCTACTTCATCTGATGAATGGGCGGGCACTGCACCTGCCACCTGGGACCAGGAGGCCTCTTTACAGCCCTCACGACACTGCCTGGCCTGCTGTCGTTATTGCTGCCCTTGTATGTCAGCAGCCTCCCCTCTGGGTCTCCGTGATGCACATTCAGCTCCGCTTACAGCTGCAGAAGAAGACAGGTCCCTGCAACATGCACCCTTCCTCCCACCCCATTATTTACGTCTCCCCGTCTGTCACTGCCTCAGGAAACATCTTTGCTGTTGGTTTTCAGATAGTCTCGCTATGTAGCTCAGGCTGGACTCGAACACGCAATCCTCCTGTCTCAGCCTCCTGAGCACTGATATTGCAGGCTGCCACACTAGGATGGAAAGCAGAGAAAAGGCTTCAAAGTATCCAAAAGCTATGGGTTCAAGGCTGACCAAACCCACGAGAGGTCACAGCACAGCCTTCTGCCTCCAAAGTGGCCGAGTCTCTCCTTGTGGGCACAGAACAGAGCAGAAGCCAAGAGTGGAACTGGGAAAGTGAGTGGGCCCAGGGGGAGATGACCGTGTAGAGGCACCTGCTCAAATGTCATCAGGATCATCCCCATCTTACAACAGTGACAACTGAAGTGAAATTGACTCATGAAAATTCAGTGGAGTGCTGGTACGTGTTAACACCTGGCTCTCTCAGAGAGAATGGAACTCAATTTTCAGAGTTTGTGGACTTCTGTGGGGACAAGGCCAGCTAGGACTACAGGGGAGAGTCTTGGGGACGAGACTGACCTCTTCTTGAGTCGTTCTGGATCCCCGCCAGCCTAGTGCCAGTGCTGGTTGTGGCTGGAACTGCCAT